AATTGTGGCATCATTTCTTTTAATGCACAAATTACTTCTTTAAATACTACATGGGCGTTACTTTTTGAGAGCCCAAATCTGTCGGCAACGGATCTAAAGCTCTCAGGAGTGGCAACAATCCATATAGTTAACAGTATCTTTTTCAGTAACGGAACATTGTTTTTACCTTGCCTAATTTGCCGATATATTAAATTTTCCAATTCCTTGTGACAAAAAGTATTTAAAAAGACATGTTATGGTTAATATATACATTATTTCATAGTGTTAAGTTTGTTATTAAAAAATACCTCACCTCATATTGTTAGAGCAATGCAGAGAAATGCGGATTTTTGGTTTGAGTCCGTTTAATAAAACGAATGTACATATATACAGAGAATACGCGGCGGAATGCTAGCAGCAAGAAACCGGCGCGTTCGCGAGCGGCTACAGAAAAACCGCGTCACGTGCACTTCTTCACAACGTGTTTCGCGTCGCGCGTTTCGTCGGAAGAGGTTTAAATGCCTCGGCACACAATCGCGACCGAACTAGCGTCGAATCGCTCGCGCCTGGTAAAGATGACGAGCAATCAACTTTTAGGCTTTCGAGATTACACACTGTCTCCGGAAAACTTCTGATCGAGTGCGCCGCCCGCGCAAATTCGGGGGCTTATATACACTCCGCGATTCCCCGAAACAAAGGAAATCTTAAGCCCAACCGCGGGGGGGTTGGCCAATGAGCGAGACAGTTTTCAGGTCGGCGACCGCTCGACCGGGCAATCAGCTGTTTTGGTATCTACCGCTTTCCTTCGAAACACGCGGCTCAGCTGACGGCCCGGTCGCGTCGAAAGTCGACGGTTTATTTTCGTCCTCCTATTTTGTGTGTTTAGAAAACTCGGAGACAAAGGGAACATCGACTCGACAAGAGAGGCGATCGTTCTCGCTCGACAACACTCACTCAAGGGGATCTCCTTATACCGCTCGTGACATTACGACAACCGTCCAAGGAGACCCCCTATTGTGAAAACACTTATAAACTATTCTCTAGAATCTTCTTCTCGCGCGAAGATTCCAGAAGGAGAGATCGAGCCGAACGTTCGATCTCGAACACATATAATTCTCGGCTCATTCTAAAATGTGAGTAAAATTGGTTATCATTGTAACGTGGTACTACGTGCTCATAGTAATGTAAATTTAAAATTTCTCCATTCTGTCTATTTCCGTGTATTAAGTCATGTAGCATTGGTGCATCTTCTATACCAATCGCCACAATATCGACGATATTTATACGTTCTGAGAAAAATCATACATGACTAATTCATCATATTATAGATAAGTATATAGCTGAAACATATTATAAAGCTCATTATTATTTACATCCTTACCTTGGTCATTTATAACAGGGATGATTAAATCTTCGACCTCATCTTCATCATCTTCATCATCATTATCATTTAATAATTCATCCAAAATCAAATTATCAATATTTTCCATATTGGTTATGGATACACTAATTTAACAAACACTATAGAAATTGTAGTTCTCAAGACTCACGAGGAAGCTGAAATACGGGCATGATTTTTAAAATAATTGTAACACTGATTGATGACATTTTGATTCACCGAGAGTAAGCTTAAGAGCTGAAGTAGGAGTAAGAAATAAAATGGATTTATTTCCTTACTCCTACTCTTTACTCCAGCTTACTCCATGTATTGTAGACCAGCCTTTACTCGCGACGTACCAGCACAGCTCTGAAGCGAGAGAGGAACACAGTAGGATGTGTCTGTCTGTCTGTCTGTCTCTAACATAGGACCGTCTTTTAACCGTCAAGGGACAGACATTACGTTTGTTGTGCCTCTCGACACAGTCGGGGCACGGGATGTGATTCGGGATCGTTTGCCGGGTTCACACAACGACTCTAGGTCGACGATTCAACAACCGTTTAAATAAAGTCTTCTTTATTCAAAACTAGTATAATTCTTGCACTCGCGTTAACAGCAGTTAACCGTATCGTTACTTAGCTTAGATTGACCCGCCTTCCTTCCTTTCCATTCCTTTTTATATCAATCGCGCTTGGCCCTGTTGTCAGGCCACTTATTGTTTAGTAAGCAGTTGTTCCGTTAGCAACTGTATGCGCGGCTTCGATGGATTCGTACTCTGCTCCGGATACTCGTTTTCATCGCATGCGGCAGGTGTTATCTGATACCTTGCCGCGTGCGAAGTCGTCGTCTGATGTGCGGTATATCGCACTCATGACACGTTACTCTCTCGCTTCAGAGCGCGTGCTGGTGCGTCGCGCGTAACGCTCAGTTCATTCTGTACGTCGATGGAGAAAACTGAGCGAACGAAGCGCGAACGCGTCTCGTTGGAAACCTACTATCTCATATTAGACTCCTATCTCGTGATAGAGGACTCTCCTCTATATTTATACGAGGGGTAAACGCTGACCAAAATCATGTACACCAATAGCCTACCAATGCCCAGTGGGTATTACTTTATCTTGTTTTATCTTATTTTATCTTTATAATCGCCCCAGCAAGGCCTAATGCCCAGACTAACGCCCAAAAAATGCCTAGCAGTGCCCAGTAATGCCGCAAATCTGTACACTACAATGCCCTCAGCGGTTTACCCCTTGTATTTATGTAAATGTCCAATTACGAGTCCGAAATTTATTTCTGCTGCGAGTAGCGTGGAATGCGATGTCTGTTATCAGTTACATAATTGTTTACACAAGTCTGTAATATAGAATGCATTGTTTACAGTGCGACCTCGGTATCGCAAGATAGATAGGCAGGCAAACCCTCCGATTTTTCCCACGATACTAGATCGATAACTTTTTCTATGTACTTTAAACGTCGTGTCCTAACTTACAGTTCCGCTCGCGACAGGAAGACGCGTCGAGATGTTAACGAGAGGTTCTCGCCGTCGTCGTCGGCTTCTAATGGATGGTTGGCCTCCAGCTCGTCTTCGTGCTCATTAGCGAGGCGCACCGAAAAATAACTCTCCCCTCGCGAATTGTAACTGTGCGTGTCTCTTTTTCTCTCTCCCTCCTTCCTTTCCTCCCTTTTCTCGTTCACACACAGCTGTACTTCGTAGTTCACTAAACTGCTATTATTTATGGATATTGTAATTCAATTACAGGTAA